AGGGATTCAGGGTTCAGTGCGTGTATGCAGAGATGAAAATCATCTCCTGGCTGACCTTGTTCGTTGGTTTGTTTGTCACCAACAGAAACAGTGTTCTGTGTATAGTTTATATGTTTGTGTGTGTGTGTGTTTTTCTAAATGCTTCGGAGGGACATTGAGTTCAGTTCTGGCAGTTGATCCGTGATAATATTTGAGACTTCCACACCTCTCTAATTGACCCTTGCTTTACGGTGACATATACACACAGACATACGGATATTATCGATATATGTTTTTCTTCCCTGCCCTCGGATTGCTCTATCAATCATGTACCCAAGAAAATCTCTCCTCCTCCTCCTCCTCCACCACCAGCACACTTAATTTCTGTGCCTTACTCTCTGTCACTTTACTGCTGCCATCCATCTCCTCCCACCCCTGCATGCAGCGTCAGGTGGATATTTTCCTCACCGACACCGATGCATGCAACAGCTTTCTGAACAGGCAGAACATTCTTACTCATTTGTTGTCCTTTGAAGTAATTGTTCAGACGTGGTAATATAAGTCGGTGAGGCTTTACTTGCGAACTGTATTTCCTTTGCGTCACCATTTCTATTTTGCCTGATCGGTAAAAAGCCTCCCCCAACTGGATTTAACGAACAGCTCCTAATGGTATGGAGATGAGAGTACTTTTCTCTTACTCCCATCTCCTCTCACCCCCTCCTCCTTTTTGTTTTCATTATCCATCCTAAAGATCTGCACTCTGCCTTTGTAAGTGTCTCAATGCTATAACTGTTTACTGTAAATTGCTTTCTAAAATGTGCTATATTACTTATTTCCCCCTGAATTAAAATGTCTATTTTGATAGATGCATCTAATTGCATAAATGTAAATATGAACATGCAATGAACTCTTTGATGGGCGTTCTTATCCCTGGTAGGTTATGTTAGATACTCTTCAAATAATTTCATTTACTCTACAGCCATGCTGGCAGCTTTGATGTATATCATTAGTCTGATAATCCAAAGGTGACATGCACGTAATGAAATTGTCCAAATATTTCAATTTAGCTCCCAGTGTCTAAAATGTTTTATGCTACATTCTAGAACATTAACATTAGCAATTAACACTAAACTATGGACTTTATGTGGGATGTAAAGGCAATCATTGGTCTGAATTTGCATTATGCTATCTTCAAGTTAGAAGAGTGGACTTGTCCAGGGGGTACCGGCCTCTCGATCAATGTCCGCTGGGCTAGGCTCCAGCAGATTCTACCTTTGATACTGATCTAAGAAATAAACTCTAGGCTATGCCACAATAACGACCTGTGCTGTTAATCAGTTAAGAATATGTTAAAAATGCCTCTCCTTTAAAACATTTTATATAGTGTGATCCAAAATATGTAAAATAAACCATAAACAGGTGGTAGATAACTGCATAACAATGCTATTATGAGAAACATAACATTTTACTCAAACTAAGAGCAAGAAATGGAATGTTAACACCTACAGTTAAATAACTATGGCTAAGATGAGTCAGAGTTCCCAGTTCCGTTGATCCTTTGATAGTTTTTCCACCAACAGAAATGAAAACAGTCGTGTTTGACGTCGTTTGCCTGAGCTTTGTAATTGGAACAATGTGCAAAAGGTTTTTCACATTGTGCGATGTTACAATCGTTTTAATTAAAACAAAGGATGTGGAATGACGCTTGGTGCAGCCATTTTCACTAATGGCCATGAGTGTTTAACTTAATTAAGCAGTCCCATATAGCAAAGCCTGTAATGAGGCTATGATGCAAAGTTCATCATAGTTCATAGCCACTGGGAAACATTACGCGTTAATGTGGGTTAGGACCTCCACATCATTCTTCTTGAATTAAACAGTATATTCAAGGAAACCACAATTTTCAGGGTTGAGTATTATTAATATTCCCTTGGGTGGGTGTAAATGTTTCTAATTACCTCAGTTAAAGCCTCTCTTGCTTTTACTCTTAATCCATTCACAAGTTTTTACCGGAGTGAGCTATAGCCTACCATCTACACATGTATTGCTCAACTCATCCACATCCCCACGCATATTAATGAGAATACAACTCCTCTGCAATTCTGATTACAAATATCACCTCATGGCACGTGTTCAGAGAGGGCATCTTGACTTCCCCAGAGCTGTTGACATTGTAGTCGTTTATTTCCCAAATTCACTCACTGTCAGATTAAAGAGTGGGAGACTATCACAGCTAAATGTGTTTGACAGTTTTGAAATAAAGCTCAATGGACTTAATCCCCTCTCGAAAGTGTCTGTGATCTTCCAAGATAAAGATCTTGCTTAGAAGTTGGAGTCACAGCATCACACTATAAAAATATGTGCACGTATTGCCATTGTCTAATCATTTTGTTTACTTTTAAAAGAAAAGAAAGGTTTGGATGTTTAGTGATAGTGAAAACTCTCCAAATAAAAGAAGAGATAAAAGAGAAGACTATATATATATATACCAAAAAGCTCTCAAATCTGATTTTGTTTCTAACATATTGTTGCATTAAACCTTTCTTCAGACAATTGATTACTTTCCAGTTCCAAGATCAGAGCTAAGCTGCTGTTTCAAACCATTGTTTTTTATTCTATTTTGAACACAAAAAATGGGAATACATGTCTTTTTTTTTTTGGATGAATGAATTCTTAATAGAAATTGTACACATGAAAAATCTGTTTTGAGCCCAGAGTGTAAATTCAGAGCATTTTTATGGTCGGGCCAGCCGTTAGGCTGCTACTGTAACTGAAATTGATCTGTTTGCTATCAGTCAAATGGGGAGAGCTCGCCTGGGTTACTAATATCAAAGGAAGATGGCTGAGTATCTATTTTTCACTCTTGTGATCTTGTTGGCCTTGGCTCTATTCATTCATGATTTAACTCACCTGTTTGGGCACAGACATGCCTGTTGACAGTGGAAAAAGGCACTGTACTTTATTTCTTCTCTCAAAGACTTGTGCTGTTTGTGCATGCTGCCATTCGCTCCACTCATCTTGTCATATTTGATCCGTTTTCTTAACAGGCTTTTTTATGAGGAACTCCTCTGTCCCTACATTCATCCTTCTTCTCTTGTACTCATTTACAGTCCACCTGCACACACTTCTTCAGTCTCGTCAGAGCCGCTGGAATTATTTACTGCTTAATGGCCTATAGCAGCTCACACCAGCCCGGCGGTGCTTTGCCTTATTTATTGATTTTCATTCCTTTTGTCTTAGAGCGTGTTTCTATGACAGTGACTGTGTGTGCTTGTGTGTGTAGGTGTGTGTATGTTAGCAGGACAAGGACATACCACAACGATAAAAAAAACACCCAAGGACATCCTGCAGATTTGAGCTTCTGGAGAAATGACCTGCGGACTGAAAGATTGATTTGATGTTTGAAGGCTAATGGGTGATTGGACTGTTGCCTCTGCTTCCATTTGTTTACATGATATATGTACCTGACCATATGTCACTGTGTGCGTGCGTGTGTAAAAATAAACAGCAACTTCTGTCCGTGACGGTAGAGCTTGAATGTCTATATACTGTCTAAATGTACACGTTTTCAGCACTGTGGGAGAAAAATGTTGCATTTCATAAAGATGCTCTTCAGTCAGCTATGTGGGTATGAAATGCTTCACAATATACTGTAAGGCTCCACTGCATGCATCTTTTCTGCACTTTTCTCCACTTGTTACATTTTTCTTAGGGATTTATAGTTAGAAACTGCATGTGTTTAATGGGTCACTTAACAATAAGATGATAACTGAAAATGTTATTATATAATCTGGTATTATTTCCCTTTCATGTCCACATCTCATCCATCATTGGTTATCTTACAAAAGCAGAATTCATGTTTGGTTTTTCATACACCAGATGTGTCTAATTCAGCTTCCAGGTCTCATGGAAAAGACTGGGAGTACACAACAAGTCACATGTTAGGACTCTTTCAACCATTTTACACCATGTACTCTGGAGGACTGACTCCTTGCCCTTAAAGTGTGTAGCCCAGAAGGTGTTAGAACTAAATGGGCCTCAAGTGGCTATCTATTCATAGCAATACAAGGTTAAAAGTCACAAATGTCCTATTTTACATTTTGTGACATTTAATTTTATATTTCACTGTAATATTTTTGGTTAAAATGAACACACATCAATAAAACAGAATTAAGGAAAAGGGCTTTTTGGACATAATTTGGGGTTAAAATATATTTAGAAACTTCCTCCCCCCAAAAAACCCAAATCATTTAGTTCATTTCTGACTGTGGCACATGCAGGGGGAAATGTTTGCTATTTCTATTCTGCTCTGTACAGTTGTGGAGGACAGTGGGATTTGTGACGTTTCAACTTCCCCCTTTGAGTAATCTTCTTTATGAAAATCCTCCTACATTTGAAACGACGGTAAGAAAGGACAAGTTAAAGATATATGGAACATGAGAGTGTTAAATATAGAGATCCTCAAAGAGCTCAGCAGAACCCCAACACTTGTCCTTGACTGTTTTAGAGACCATTTGTACGCGTGTGAGACGGGAGGAGGGATGGGGTGTGTGTGTATAAACCAAAAATGACCGATTATATAACCCCACAAAATTGATGAAGATGTTGAGATAAATCCCCCCCCCCCCCTAAAAAAGGATGAGATGGATCACACATGGTGAATGGCATGGTGCTGCCTGTGTGTGCCGAACCTACGGTCCTCCCATTGCATTTTTAGATCAATGAAAGAGAGAGAGAGAGAGAAAGAGGGAGGGAGAGAGGTCTGTGTGTTTTCAACCACAGCTGTTGAGCTACACCGCGTACGTGCACAGAGAGAGGAGCTGAGAGGGCAGAAGCACACCGTCTCTTCGCCCCGCAGACGCGTGCGTGACCCACCGCCTCCCGGATTTCCCTTCAACTTTTCCCCCCCCGTTTTTTCTTTTTTTCCTTTCTTTTTCTAGGCCACTCTTTTTGCTTGACGCATTCCCTCCGAGTCTCTTTGGAATGAACCGCTTCCCTGCCCGCGTCGTTTCCATGTCAGCATGGGAACTGCTGCGTCCAAAAGGAAGAATTTGAGAAACGATGCGATATCTTCTGTGGCAGCAAAAGTTAGGTGAGTGGCGCTCGGAGCCCCTCCGTCTGTGTGTCCGTTTTTACTGCATCACTGGGGAGGTATTTGGGGGGGGGGGATTGCAGCCTGGTGGTTGCACGCCAGGCCGGGTCAGGTGTGTGTGACATTTGGGTTTTGATGGAGTACCGTTGCGCTATCCCGGCTCCGTCCAGCGCGTCAGCACTGCGCACACACGCTCCGGGATGTCGACTGTCCCGTCCGTACCCCGGGGCGTGCTCTCCCCCCTGGGCTGTCTCCCAACAACACTACAGGCAGTACTAGTCCATTTCCCCCCCGAAAATTTCCCCGGGGTGTAATTCTAACAGTCTGATTTAAGTCTGTGGCGCGTTGGCGCTTTCGCTGATGGGAACGGAGCGTCATTGTATAACCAAAGTCATGGAGACGCCGTCATTCACCGGATCCCTGACACATTTGTTTGGTTATTTCATCAACTTGGCATTACCTAAATAGCCTATCAACTGCTGGGGAAATGGCCTTATTGTTTCTGCAAGTTAAACAAAAAAAAAGGGCTTTGTGTCTGGCCGCATCGACCCGGGAGAGCAGCGCAGAGATGGAGAGGCAGAGGCAGGCTCCTCACGTCTGGCGGGCAAATAAACCAGCTGTCAATGAATCAATCATCCCCCCCCCCCCCCCCCCCCCCCACCCCTCTCACCCCCATCGATCCTATCGTGCGCTGATCACCCATCAGAGCCAGTTACCTGGATCAGTCTCAGAGGGAAGCGATGGTAATATTATTAAATCCGGGGGGGAGGCAGTGGGACCCAGACTGTTTGGCCGGAGTCCAGCCCATTAAAAGCTGCTAACGACTCACTCTTAAGAGAAGCCTCTCATTTAATAAGCAGGACTGTGCCTTGCACCTTACGGGTGGGGGGGGATACGTGCTTCCCGCGCCGCCTTCACGTTTGGGAGCTGAAGTTGCAAAGCACGTGTGGCTGTAAGCTCACGTATGAACACACACACACACACACACACACACACACACACGCACACACACGAAGCACAGACGATGTGACAAGGTCGTAAATGAGATCGGAATTGTCGCGCCTGGATCGATTGCGCGTGATTGCAATCCGGTCAATGAATGACCTTCACTCGTGCAGGACACCTCCACAGATGTGGGCTGATGTGGTATTACGTCATCCCCCCCTCCATGCGTGTCTCTTTCCCACAGTGCAGCCTATAGTACATCATGCAGTGTGTGAGGTGTCTGTGCGCCACCTTGAAAGGAAGAGAATAAGAAGCTCAAGCAATGGCACGTAGATAGAGTTTTTTTCTCTTCTTTTGAGCAGGTGGTGCCCCGTTTGTGTGTGAGGAGAAAGGGGTCTTAAGCTTGAATGATTAGAAACAAATATTGCTACTGTGAAACGACTAAATTGTGTCACTGCCTCTGTTTCATTTTATATATGAAAATGCACATCTTTCTTTTTTTTTTTTTTTTCCCCCCCCCCCCCCCTTTTTGGACTTATTGACAGCTTGGATATTACTATGTGATGTGAGTGGGGAAATGAAGCTGAATCACATCAAATATTTATCTGCCTTTCACCTGCACACAACCTCCTGAATCTGGAAGCGAGAGCTCAAGGATTCCTTCTTTTTTATCCCTCCTCTCTCTCTGTGACAAACACACAGAGTGGAAATGTGTCAGGGATTTGTGTTTTAGGCATTTTCTGCTGATCATGCATCATCACCCAAGAAACCATCCAGCAACAAGTTCAGCTGTGTAGACAAACATCTGAAAGATAATTAATCTGCTTTGCATCTGTGATTTAAGACTTCCAATTACAGATTCAAGTCTCATTTGAACAAGAGTATAAAAAGTCTATCTACTCTAAATTGGATTCATGGGATAGGGAAAATGGACCGTTTATGCCTAGTATCAAAAAGTCAGAAGCTGGATTTGTCAGGTGTTAGGTTTTATGTGCAACATATTTCAGGGTAACTGGATACAAATCAGCTTTTTGGCATCCTTCCATGTTAAAGCATTATGGGAATTGTGTGAGTAATAAGCTACATGCACACCTGCATCCTGAAAAATCCTCAAAGCACATTGCCTGACTTACCTTTTTGTTTTAGACTTGACATTTGCCCCCAAATGGGAAACTGGTCCCGACTGATTTGATTCCAGTCAAACAGCACACTCATTACCATGGCTAGAGATCCTCAAAGGAAGATGACAGCTGGTACATAACTGTATGCGAGACTGAGTCATCGTCATTCCCCAACTCATCTGTAGATGTGAGTGAAATGAATCACTATGATTTATATTAAGGGTACGCAAATGCCCCAAACCTTTTTTATAGATTGCTTTGGAATTGAAAACACTCTTATTGATTTTTAAACAAATAATTCATTTGGAGGCTACATTACAACATATCCTCTAATATGATAAATGTATTCTTACTCTTATATTGTGTATCCTTGATTGTTCCTCACAATGTCTGCAATTGATTCTCAGAACAGCGACTTGATTAGAATGTTGACTTGATTAGTCAACATTTTTTGGTAAGCTTAGCTTTGTTTGGGAGTCTTGGCTTGTGCGGTGCCAGTTGTACAACTGGCAAGTGGTTTGCCATTAAAAATCGGTGTGGTGTCCTTTTAAATGTTTTGAAAATCTCGAACCTATTTATTTATTCATCTATCTTTTGCCTTTGATGCTTTAAGATTATTTGCACTTTGAATTATACATACAGTACTATGCCCCTAATTTAAACGCAATGGGATTTACTAGTGCTGCCTTAATGGATCATTGCAGCATTCAATGACAAATGGGCAATAACATATTGCACAATTTGACATGTTTATCAATGGCAATAAGAAATAACACCTTTGTTTGGTCAGGATATAACACCTTACACTAAGTAATGGCAGAGCGATATTATCAATGATTTATTTCTAATGTTGAATTAACTATATAGATTATGAAGATATCTGATGTCAACATCAAAGCAAAATGCAATAGCACTAATGTCAACTTCCAGCAGCAAGTGCAGCATCAAGTTAAAGTTAATTAGAGAAAATGGTCAGCATACCCTTGTGGAGTGGTGTAGATGTATCCCTCAGATCTGAAAGGCTTGCTTCAAAACACATTTTAAGACTGAGGGTGTTTTTGAGTTGTTTGTGACTTCGGACACTCAGATTTGTGTTCTCAAGCACTGGCAAAACATCTTTTTGTGATTTTTCACTCCATCATCAGACAGGGAAATGTTTACTGTCTTTGATTTTCGATGGATACCTTTGTGAAATAGACTTTATAGCAAATTTAAAAGCCAGTAATCATCCAGCACATTGCAATAGAAACTTGATATCTCGGAGCGATGGACTTGGTGCCAAGTCTATCGCTTTTTTGTTGGAAAACCATAGTAAGCTAAATATTTATAATTACTAAGTGTTTTCAGATTTCAAAATTTGTATAAAGAGTGGCTTTAAAACACATTAGTGGTTTTTAAGCCAACAGCTCTGCAGATTTAATATTTGGTCAACAACCAAAGCACTCCACACATGGATGCCATTACTTAATGATGGCTCCATGATGAATAAAGTCATTTTTAGCCACTGTGAAAAATGAACAGTGTCCCAAAAATCAACAAAAGTTCTCAGCTAGATATTTCACTCAAGTATAAAAAAAAAAGTCAGGATTATGGGATCACTAACGGAAATGTCAAAGAGCCACCACACAAAGCTAGCTCTATCCTTTGGGAATCATGGATGACAGCATATTAAACTGGAGACAAAAGCTGGGTATTGCCACTGGTTTGTTGATTCTCCTTTAAAAGCTCCGAGCTCAGCACATGACATTTGATATGTGAGACATTGAATGAATGAAAAACGCTCAAGTGAGAATTAGCTAAAAGGACAATTAAATCCTTTCATTCTGTTATATATTGTATCTATAAACAGCTCTGCCCCCCTTTATCTCCCCTATAAAGTCAACCTTGCAGCGTGGCGTTCCAGGGACAAATTCCGTTCAAGACGCCACACTGGTGTGGATTTGTGAATTTTTTAAACCAAACACACACACAAGACATCGGAAACACTCCAAGGATCCTTTCCTTTATGCGTTTCCTGAGCATGCCGCCCCCTCTGCATGTTTAGATATAGCTGGTGACGGAGCGAGGAGGAGGTTAGGTCTCATTTACACACCTGAATTCAGCGCCATTAAGCGAGAAAGCGAAACGCTTTGATCTGATAGAAGAGAGCTGTGCTGTGCTTTGGGCTGAGGGGGCAGTGGACAACAGGGTTCACGATGCTGGGAGCTTTAAAAAAGGAGGGCAGGAGATGAAAGGGCTGGTGTAACAGAAGGATGCAAATTAAATATTGTGTTTTAGTTTATTCAGGACACCCAGATGTGGCTGGCTTGCAGTCAGTCCATTAATGAAGTTTAGCAATGTTGCGTAACATCGTTCCCCCCAGTCTTTGGTCATGATTTTTGCAAAGACTTTTCTTCCTTCTTTTTTTTCCCATCACACCATCATTATCCCCAGTTATCTCAGCTATTATTTGTTTGGAATGAGACAGATTTAGTCGATTACAAGCTAAGCAAAGACGAGACTCCCAGCTGTTCTGAGCTTATTCATTTCATTTTTTTAGAAACAAGTTTCACAGTCCTCACATTTCTACCATCCTGAAAATGTTCTTTTTTCCGGTTAGTGATTAAATCACTGATTATGAGGAAAATGTAATAGCATAAAAATACAAGAAAAAGGATGTGATGTAAGACCATGAGTGACACTAATTATAGTCATAACAGATATGTTTTATGTGCTATAACATTATTCACATCTGCTCAAAGTGCTGGAGTTCACTTACAAATGTACTGACATTTCTAACAGCTCGCTGATAAGAACGGCTCCCACATGTCCCATAATGTGCTGCATTTTCAGCCAAGTGATTAAGATTCCCAGGTTCCATTGACCCTAAGTCACACGACTGACCCCTTCAACAGGTTCTGAACCCCTGGATGTGCCCATTTGCATATGGACGCT